GGGGGGGGAGGGGGAGAAGTGTTGAATAGGAATTTAACTAGAACTGGGCATATGTTCATATGTTTTCCTTTAGGCTTCAGCCCTCTGTCCATTTTTCACCCTCCTCCTTCCCAGCAGCTTTTTGTGCTCGGCCATACGACAAGAAAGAGCTCTCCAGTATCACAGGTTCCTCGGCTGGAACTTACACTGTCAGATTTTTATTGACAAATTCAAAACAGGTTTGGAACCAATGTGGGATTTTATGTGCATGAATTGCCACTCAAAATGCATGAATTAGCAGTGACTGGCAAACGTAGAGGTCAGCACAGGGAAAACCACAAATAGTCGGGTGTGATGGCTCCTTATTCAACTCTAATCATCTGTTTACTTTGCGCCCTGCCAGAAAGGCTGTCTACAAAACAACTGTAGTAAGTCATATTAGTGTGTACATCTCCTGAAATTTATTATTTTTATTATAATTTTAAAATAATTTAATTCATACTTGGCCATAACGCTTTGTGTTCCCAAAGCACATCCTGCACCTGAATGCATGGTCAGCCACTCCAGCCAGCAGCACCCCAACCTCTGCCCGCCTCTGCATGGCCGGATACCACTGAGGGCATCCAAATCATCACCTGCTGCAGATCTCTACCACTCGGTTTAAAAGCAAAGCTTCCCAAGCAGGGACTCAACTGAGCAAATACTCTGATAGCAGCAAATACCCTGATAGCAGCAAAGAGATCCTAAATTATGTCGGGTCCATGAAGCACCAAGCATAAAAACTAATGACAGTCCAAGCTGGGTAATATTCTCCCCCTCTTCCCCCCAGGTCCTGGCCCTGGACTTACAGGCAGGGAAGCACCCACGTGCCTTTGGAGCAGGCGCTGGTGTGCGGAGGCAGCTGCAGGCACTTGGGCGAGAGGCGGATGGTTCACTGGGATTGTGCCGGGTAACCTGGAGTCTCGCACCACGGCACCAGCCCCTCGGCCACTGACAGCACCTTGGTCCAGCAGCAAATGCTATTTAATAAAAAAAACAACATAAAAATACTAATAGTATTGGTATTAACACGTGTGGCTTTACCTGTCAAGACTAGTGCTCGGGGTGGCAGCGCCTGTTCAAGCCTCGGGGGAGCCCACAGCAGGAGAAGTTTGCTCTGCCACCCAAGCCCCAGCTGTGTGGGTATGCTGCTGGTGAAATGGGGGGGCTGCTAGGGCCCCTCCAAATACATGTACAACCCTCCCTGGCCCATGTTCACCCACTGATGGGTGCAAGTCACATTTTGCCCACGCCTCTGGCACCGACCCACAGATGAGGCCTGACCATGCTTGGCTTGCCAGTGGATGTTGCACTGGTTAGTCACCACTCTGTTTTTCCAAGGAGTTTCTACCCAATATGAGAAAGAATTGCACTATTTTAATTGTTTTCCAGCAAAGTGGCTGCTCAAGGCAACCTTCAAAGAAACTCCAGGACTGGGGGAAATGCAAAGCAAAATTTTAAAAATTAAGCGAGGCGCTGAGGGCAAGGCCATTATTTGATGTGACCAGGAAAAGGTCTTGTCTGTGCCCTGTCACCAGCTGGGCTCAGCAGCCAGCTCTGCTGTCATGCGCTGGGTCTCCACAAATGAGACTGGCTAAAACCCACAGCCCAAATAGTGGTGTGGGGGATGCTGGAGAAATCACTGGGCTGAGGCAGCAGTAGCTGCTGGGTAGGTGGGATCCACCTGTGGGATGCAGACATCCCTTGGAGATCCAAATCACAAAGCAGATCCTGGACCCAGCTGCACTGCGGGGTGATGGATGAAGTTTAGCACCATGTCATGGACACCAAGGAAGCAAAATTCAGGCTCCCCTCCCATCTGCATCTCAGCAGTGCTGATTTACTGAGTTATAATGAAACAGTTTTTATAGAATCACAGGTTGGAAAAGCCCTTTAAGATCATCAAGTCCAACTGCAAATTTAACACTGCCAAGTCCCACTAAACCATCTCCCTAAGTGACACATCTTTTAAGGAAGTTGATGTGTGTAATTTTTGTTTAAAAGATACAAAATAAGAGGATGGGGGGGCAGTGTTACACACCTGCTGGCTCTTGTCTCTTGGGTGCTCACTGAATTTGGAAGGGCAACTTTGGTTCACCTTGTGTCCAGCACAGATTTGTTTCTTTTACAGCTCCAGGAGGGCTGTGATAACTTATTTCCTTTTAAAAGAAGAGCTGGGAAGGCAGAAGCCGGTGGCGCTTCCTCAAACTGCCTGTACAGCCACCCTTTGGTGTCATGAGCACCTTGCTACTGCTTCAGAAGAGAACAATTATTTTATATGCAAAGCTATAGATAAAAATACTTCAATATATGTGTGTGTGTATATATACACATATATATGCGTTGAAGGAGACAAGAAGGAAAAGAGCCATTTAAAGGAAAACCTAAAAACTGACTCAGCTGCACCTATCCCCTCCCATCTCTCCCTGCTGGGCAGTGAGCAAGGGTTGGAGGCCATCGGCTGTCCCTGTCTTGGGGCTGTGCTCTGGCCGTGACCCTGAAAGTACACAAAGGGGCTTGTGCCAGTGGCCCCTGGGGCTGACCCAGGTCCATTTCTCAGCAGCTGCAGCAGCACACTGTCAGCCCCATTTGCACCCCACCAGCCTGCTGGTGGGTGGGTGCAAGCCCTCCCCAAACACAGGGCACACTGGTACCTCAATACCTCTCCCCCCTCTACTCCTTCGCCACGGTCCCTGCTGCGTCAGAGGTGTCCGTGAACACCAGGGATGGGCACCCACGGCATGGCCCCAGAGCTCCACACTGCAGCAGGCACTGCTCCAAAACCACAGGGAGGATGGAAATTTGGAGATGTCCCACCCCCCCAGTGCATCAGTGCGCCATGCAAGGTAGCAATGACCCCAGTGGTCCCCTTGGGCCCGTGGGAGCAGTAATGGCCCCAGCACTGTGGGTCAGCCTCCAACAACTGTGGGGAAGGGCTGGGAAAAAAGAAAAAAGAGCGGGAGATTATAATGAGAAATAATTAATCCCTCCAACTTCTGCCCAGGTAGATCGCAGCCTGCAGTGGCTGAGGAGGGACATGCTGGGAGCCAGGGCTGGGACCACAGGTGCTGAGCATCCCTCTGTGCACCTCCTGCACATGTGGACTGTGTAGCTGCATGTCCAGGTGGTCCTCACCAACATGCAGGTCTGCCTGTGGATCCCGAGTTTGTGGGGCTGCCCCACCAAGGGAGGGAAAATGTTGCTGTTGCTGTTTCGGTCAGCATCTGCCCATCCCGCAGGTCCCACCAGCACCACGGTGCAGCAATAACTCAGTAACCAATTAACAGCATCAATTAACACAAAAGCAAGTGCCGAGCCTGCACCCGCACAGGTGGTGGTAGGTTCCCCCCTCCAGAGTACTCGCAAACTCATCACACACACCCCTCTCCTGCTAGGACACCCCAGGAAGCCTTTCCCAGGTCTCACTCCCCACAGGGAAGCTGGGGGGCAGGGGGAAAGGAAGACAGGACACCACCGCATTTATTAGTTTGAATTTTATTGGGGTGGGGGGGGAAAAGGAAGGAAGAGGAGGTTTGCCTTACAGTCGAAGGGGTAAGTGTGGGGTTATGGCATCAAAAAATCACGCATACATGGTCCCTCTCCCTCTATGCGGCAAAGCTGCTGGAAAGCACCAGCCTGGGGCAGGTAAGGCAGCAGGGCTACAGTCCAGACCCACAAAAACAAACCAACCCACAGAAGGGGCTAAAAAAAAATTACCAATCCAAAAAACACTCCCCCAAAGTCATGTTCTCCCCCAACCCCAAAGCAGATCTGCTCTCCCCTGCATCCCTCCCCCCAAAAAAAATAAACTGAAACTTTTTTCCTACTTTTTTTTTCTTTCCTTTTTATTATTTTTAAAAAATTTTTCCAAAAGTTTTGGTTTTTTCGGTCTGCACTTTGTGGATTACTGGGCAGCCCTTCCCTCCCCTCTGCCCTGGGCTGCTGCCGCCCCCACCCCACTGCCCAGGCCCTGCAACAGCACAGTCGAACTCGCATGGAGCCCTCGAGGACGGACAGAGGACACAACATGGGGAAAGATTCATTTTTAGGAAAGAAAATTAAAATTTAAAAAAAAAGATTTTTTTTAAAGTTCTGTTCCAAGTTAGACTCTAGTTAAATGCCAACCCAACAGCATCAACTAAAAATAATCACGGTCACTGGAACGGACCAAGTATTTACATCGATCCCGCTGCTCCCAGCAGCAAAAAGCTGTACAGGACCAGCAAGCCGGGGGCTCCCAAACAAAGGTGAGGGTCCCCGGACGAAGTTTGGGGGGCACCGGCAGAACAGGAGCCAGCCTGCGCCTCTGCCCGGGGGGCAGCAGGGGAGACGCTAGGCTCTTTAAATTTATTTTTTTTAAACTCCTTTTCTGTTGCATTTAAAAAAATAATAATTATAATAAACCCACTGGAGGGGTGCAGGAAGCAAATAAATATCAGTCAGTAGACATACGGGTGGCAGGACTCCCCCCGGGGCATCGCCACTGCTAACAAAGAGGGAGAAGGAGGAAGAGGAGGAAGAGCCGGAGCCAGAGTCCCGCCCAGGAGGCAGCAGGGAGACGCCGGGTGGGGGGTCCGTGGTGACTGGGGGAGGACAGCGGTCGGCCCCTCACAAGACCTGGAAGCGCCAGGACGCCTGGTCCTTGTAGTCGAGGCAGTCGGGGGAGTTGAAGTTGAGCTTCCAGGAGGCAGCGGCAGCAGCGGCAGGCTCCTTGTAGTCCAGGCAGTCGGAGGAGTTGAAGGGCAGCCCGGTGCCACCGTAACCCTGATGGTGGTGGTGATGGTGATGATGGTGGTGATGGCCTGAGCTCTGGCTCAGCGGGTGGTGGTGGTGATGGCCAGGCACCGAGGAGGGCCCCATGGGGCTGAGCTGGTGGGGATGATGGTGGGAGTGCATGGGTGCAAGGTAGGAGCTGCAATCCACACCCCCAAAATAAGACGAGGAAGGTGGCGCGGGGTACCCCTGCCCGTACCCCCCGCCTTGGCCATA